AAAAAAAAAAAAAACTTACATGTTTATGAAGTACTTTGATTCGACTTTCATTGTTTCATAGATTTTGTTCATTTATGTAGGATTTTGTCGTTCACATTTATGACTCCATGCCCCTTAAGGATATCCATTTAGTCTTTCCCATAGAGAACAGTATCTCTCTTTTTTAAGTCAATTCCCAAAACATTGCATTCTAAATAAACTCCAGTTACAGAAGATATTTTCCCTCCTAATAAGGAAATGTATTATCAAACAATGATATTGCGTTAGTTCTAAATACATAAAAATCCTGAGAGGTTTTCAGAAAAGAAATTGATGATCATTTTGTTTCCCCAGGGTTGGAACGAGTGACCATGCTGTTCTTGGGATTGCATAATGTTCGTCAGACATCCATGTTCCCTCGTGACCCAAAACGACTCACTCCTTAAAGAAAGTTATGCTTTTTATTCTTCTCAGTAACCTGCTACTGATCAGGCTATATCTTAGGTACTTGAAATACACCTTATAAAAATGTCTTATCTAAGTGCCAAGGGTTTTTTTGGATTAAATCAGTGTAAGTTAGTTTAAAAGAAAAGATTTTTTTATAACTTTTGACATGCTTTGGTAGGAAATGCTGGAACATTTTTAACAAGAAATTCATATGATTATGTTTAAAATTCATATTCTGTTACTATAGTAAACATTAACAAGAGTTTTAAGCAGTTAAAGTTTCTGCAAATTTTTTAATTTTTTATATTATGTTGGCCACAGCATTGTCTTACATTTTAAACATTTTAACTTATTTTTTAAAATTCTGACATTGAGATAAGAACAGTTGGAGAAGTATCTGATATTTTAATGTATTGACAGTCTCGTGAAAAATTAGGCCGAAAGTATGCTCAGAAATCATGTGAAGTAGGTGAAAATATTAGTTAGAAAATATTCAGTATGTTGTATTAATTGTTAAATTCTAAAACTGAATTTCAATAAAATTTTAAAGCTAATTATAGTTTGTGTAACTTTTGGCAGTCTGATTTTATAACTGGTTCTTGGGATTAATAATTTGGGAAAAGAAAATACATAACTGGTTTATGGAAGTACCTAAAAATAAATGAAAATTCACAGATTTTTAACATGTATTCATAGAAGATAAAAGTTAAAATGGGTGTAAGGATAGAGCTCTTAAAGCTCATGGCTTGGGTTGGTTAATAAAGTTCATTTCACATAGATTAAAAAATAGTGTCAAGCCGGCGCCGCAGCTCACTAGACTAATCCTCCACCTTGAGGCGCTGGCACACCGGGTTCTAGTCCCAGTCGGGGCACCGGATTCTGTCCCGGTTGCCCCTCTTCCAGGCCAGCTCTCTGCTGTGGCCAGGGAGTACAGTGGAGGATGGCCCAAGTCCTTGGGCCCTGCACCCCATGGGAGACCAGGATAAGTACCTGGCTCCTGCCATCAGATCAGTGCAGTGCACCAGCCACAGCGCACCAGCTGTGGCGGCCTTTGGAGGGTGAACCAACAGCAAAGGAAGACCTTTCTCTCTGTCTCTCTCTCTCTCTCACTGTCCACTCTGCCTGTCAAAAAAAATAGTGTCAGATGGGGCCAGTGTTGTGGCATGGCAGGTAAAGCCACCACCTGTGACACTGGTATCCCATGTGGATGCCAGTCTGAGTACTGGCTGCTCCACTTCCAGTCCAGCTCTCTGCTAATGTGCCTGTAAAAGCAATGGAGGATGGCCCTGGAGCTTGGGCCCTTTGGGAGGAAACTCCTAGCTCATGGCTTCAAAACACCTCTGGCCATGCAACCATCTGGGGAGTGAACCAGCGGGTGGAAGATCTCTCTGTCTCTGTCACTCCCTCTCTCTCTCGGTAAACTCTGCCTTTCAAATAAATAAATAAATCTTTAAAAAAATAGTGTTAGATTTTCTGTTTCATTCTGGTACTGGTACTTAGTGAATGCCACTAAAATGCATTTCCATCTTCCTCACCAAAAGGATTATAATTTTTTCCTCTGTGTTGTTGAATATATTGGTGCTAATTTTACAATGAACTACAAGTAATGGGCAGGAACACAACAATGTAATGCAGTTTTTTTCCTCTAAGAAAAGAAAAAATGACATCAGAAAAATAGGAGGATCTAGAAGGTAGGAAATTTACTTACCCTTGGACCATAAACATTTACCCATTTTTTTTTAATTCAAGTAAATATTATTATTTCAACATCTAGATTGTGAGCTCCTTGAAAATAAAGATTCAATTTTTCTTTCTTTTGTATCCTTCTGAGTATATTGAATAGATACCCCAGAAATACTTGATGAATTTAATCTACTCAAGAATAAAATGCACTCCACCTTATATTTTTATGTTTCTGTGTAATTCTCCGGCCCTGAAGTATTCAATTAGTGGCTCCAGAGCTACTCTTTTTTTTTTTTTTAGAAAGCTTTTATTTAATAAATAAAATTTCATAGGTACAGCTTTAGGAATATAGTGGTTCTTTCCCCCATACCCTTCGTCCCACATCCTACTCCCTCTCCCATCCTTTTATTTATTTGAGTTACAGAGAGGGGGAGAGGTCTTTATCCTCTGGTTCACCCTCCAAATGGCTCCCAACAGCTGGGGCTGGGCCAGGACAAAGCCAGGAGCTTCTTCTGGGCTTCCTACTCAAGTGCAGGGACCCAAGGACTTGGACCATTTTCCACTGTTTTCCCAGGCGCATTAGCAGGGAGCTGGATCAGAAGTGGAGCAGCTGGGACATGAATCGGTGCCCATATGGGATGCTGACACTGCAAACAGTGACTTAACCCACCGTACCACAGTGCTGGCCCCTATTGGGTCTTTTTTATTAGCTAATTTTTTTGCTCATGGGATTTTCCTTTCTTCTACTTCCTTGGGTATTGTTTTTGTTTTTGAAAGACAGAGATCTTCCATGTGATGGTTCTCTCCCCAAATATCCATACCTGCTGGAGCTAGGCTAGGCCAAAGCCAGGAGCCTGGAACTTCATCCTGGGCTCCCCCATACACTGGCCAGGAACCAACTACTTGAGCTATTACCTGCTTCCTCCCAGGGTGTGTGCTATCAATAAGATGGATCCAGAGTAGAACCATGACATCATCCCAGGTATTCTGACGTGGGATTAGGCATCCCAAGCAGTAATTCAACCTCTGAGCCAAATACCTGCCTGTATTTCAGGCTTCTTCCCTAGTTTACTAAGTTTTAGTTTTCTTCTTTCCCATTTTTTCTATATATTCATAAATTTAAACTGCTAAATTTAATCTAAGATACAGTTTGATTCATGTGACCTGAATCTCTGTATCAGATGTTTTAAGTTTGTTGGTAGAAACTAAAAACGTTTTTATATGCTTGTGCTTGAATTTGCTGGTTAAACAGGCCATACCATGTTACATATTTAAGAAATGTTTCCGGCCGGCGCCGCGGCTCACTAGGCTAATCCTCCGCCTTGCGGCGCCGGCACACCGGGTTCTAGTCCCGGTTGGGGCGCCGGATTCTGTCCCGGTTGCCCCTCTTCCAGGCCAGCTCTCTGCTGTGGCCAGGGAGTGCAGTGGAGGATGGCCCAGGTGCTTGGGCCCTGCACCCCATGGGAGACCAGGAAAAAGCACTTGGCTCCTGGCTCCTGCCATCGGATCAGCGCGGTGTGCCGGCCGCAGCGCGCCAGCTGCGGCGGCCATTGGAGGGTGAACCAACGGCAAAAGGAAGACCTTTCTCTCTGTCTCTCTCTCTCACTGTCCACTCTGCCTGTCAAAAAAATTAAAAAAAAAAAAAAGTTTCCAAATACATGTATTCTTAAAATTTATAGAAGGCATTGGACCTTCTGGTAAATGTTTTCCTAAATTGTTATCTAGTGGTTGAAATTATTTGCTAAGTTTTCATTTGCTATTGCTATTGTCAGTAAGCGATCTGAGACTTGCTCCCTCATTTCTCTATTCTTTTTTTTTTTTTTTTTTTGACAGGCAGAGTGGATAGTGAGAGAGAGAGAGACAGAGAGAGAAAGGTCTTCCTTTGCCGTTGGTTCACCCTCCAATGGCCGCCGCTGCAGCCGGCGCACCGCGCTGATCCTGGCAGGAGCCAGGAGCCAGGTGCTTTTCCTGGTCTCCCATGGGGTGCAGGGCCCAAGCACCTGGGCCATCCTCCACTGCACTCCCTGGCCATAGCAGAGAGCTGGCCTGGAAGAGGGGCAACCGGGACAGAATCCGGCGCCCCAACCGGGACTAGAACCCGGTGTGCCGGCGCCGCAAGGTGGAGGATTAGCCTATTGAGCCACGGCGCCGGCTCTCATTTCTCTATTCTAAGCCCGACTTTTCCCCTCATTTCTCTGTTCTCTTCGAGGTAGGAAACTAATTCTATTCTGAAAGACTCTCCAAGATGCACAATTTGATTTTTAGATCTTAAAAAAGGGATGGCTAACATTTTTCTATAGTATAGCCAAAATGAGAACTTAACTTATAATTTCACAGCTAGATTTACTTTGCTTGTGGGCACAGTAAACAGGCAAAATCTCCCTTTCAGACCAAACAAAAGGAAAGACTGGGCCGCCTCACAGGGCCTTAAAGCCCACCTGATTATTATCAGGCCCCTTCTGTCAGTTTCTATTTGCCTCTCAATCAGAAAACTTAATTGTGGCTTAGATAGCACCTTTCTTAGGTCCTCTAATAATGACTCTTTTGTTCTAGACCCTGTCTAGCCCACTTGGGGCCTCATTCCTTTGTAATCATAGCCTCTACTCATATCAATGGCTCTACTCCTGACCTGTGTGTATTGATGGTCCTCTGCCCCACTTAATGTTGTATGATTGTTCAGAATTTCTCTACAGACAAACCCCTCTGCCTGCAAAAGTTGAGTGGTTGGGATCAGCTTTAAACCACGTCCATCAAACAGTCTTCACAGGGGTCCAGAGATCCTCCTCATTTCCTCTCCTCTATGAAATCCTCTCATTACTTGGTTAATGCTACTCTTAGGATTGTTGGTTGCTATTCTCATGCTGTCTTTTATACTGCAGTGTCTGTTTAAGTATTTACAGGAGTTGATAATGGAATGAACCAAGGCCTTCAGCAACCCGGCGGTCAACCAAATGCTGCTACAGAGATATACTTGGCTTCCCACCCAGGAGACAGAGGCTTGAGACATCGCCCCGTGCCTGCAAAGAGTACCTCGTTGCCCCATATCAATGGAAAGTAGCTCTAAAGACAGAGCATCGTCCCTCTACCCCTCCTGGAATTAATGTAATCCCATACAACTGCTGCTTTAATAAAACAAAAGGGGGGAATGTTAGTAAAATGGCACAGTCTTGTCTATGGCACAATCTATGCCCTGACACCATCCTAGGCTCTAGCCCCTACCACCATTGCTGGAAGCCAGGTGGCCACATGGCCCAACCACCGGTGTCAGTCCCACCCCCATCCTAATGGGATTTGTTGCTCTTATTCCCTGCTTGCCCCCCACCCCCGGCAAAGTTTTAAAAGGACGTGTTCCTGAACACGTGTTTCTCTTTCTCTCCATCTGCTGACCTCTGTCTCTTTCTCTCTTACGCTGTCCTTCTCCCTCTTTTCCTTCTTCGCCCCATCCCTCTAGTCTGTCGGGTTTCCCCCAATAAACTCTTTCCCTTAAAAAAAAATTATTTATTTGAAAGAGTTACACAGAGAGAGGAGGAGAGGCAGAGAGATAGAAAGGTCTCCCATTCCTCTGGTTCACACCCCAAATGACCGCAGCAGCCAGAGCTGAGCTGATCAGGAGCCAGGAGCTTCCTCCAGGTCTCCCATGTGAGCGCAGAGGTCCAAGGAGTTGGTGATCTTTTAGTGCTTTCCCAGGCCATAGCAGAGAGCTGGATTGGAAGAGGAGCAGCCAGGACTCAAACCAGCACCCACAGGGGATGCTGGCGCTGCAGGCTGCAGCTTTAACCTGCTGAGCCACAGCGCTGGCCCCTCCATCTGTTCTTGAAGTTCTATTTGGATAAATATTGGGCCTGCCAACTATTCTCATATTTTTATCTTGGTGCTTGTTCTGGAAGAGTTCCTCAGTACTATCTTCTGATATATTTCTTTTTCAAATATGCATTCTCTAAAATTAATACCAATTGTTATATCTTTTAATTTTTTTGTCTTTAAAGATTTATTTATTTATTTGAAAAGCAATTAGAGAGGAGAGACAGAAAGAGAGAGAGATCTCCCATCTGCTGATTCACTCCCCAAATGGCCACAATGTCTGGGGATGGACCAGGTAGAAGCCAGGAGCCAGGGTCTCCCAGATTGGGGGTGGGGGGGCCCAAGGACCTGGGCCGTCTTATGCTGTTTTCCCAGGCCTTCAGTATGCAACTGGATCCAAAGCAAAGCAGCAGGGACTCAAAATGGCACAACCTGCTGTGCCACAACATTGGCCCAATTTTTTAATTTTAATGATTATATTCTTCATTTCTAATCTAATCAGTTCTTGTCTAATTTATGCCTGTTTTCATATATTCTTTGGTGGCAGTTAGGCCATCATTTATATCTATTCATAAACTCTTTATCAGATCAGACTCTTCTATAAAATGTTTGCCTATATCTTACCTCTTGTCTGTTCTTGCTGTGTGTTCATGTAGAAGGGATTATCACACATAAACTCAATGGGCATTTTGAGGTAGATGGTTATAGTATGAAAGAAAAAAATACCACTTAAACAGGTAGATGCTGTCTCCCACTGTAGTAGTTGTGTAATTGAAATTTGCAGTCACTGGGAGTAGCAGGCTCTATAGGAAGTTTTTTTCTTCAGCTGTTGCATAGATCAGCAAAGGGATCCACTAGGTTAAAGTCAATCCCAGTATCCTACATGGGTAGCAGGGACCCAATTACTTGAGCCATCACTGTTGCCTCCAAAAGTATGGAGGCATTAGCAAGAAACGAATGAAGAGTAAAGCCAGGGTTCAAACCCAGGCGCTCTGAAATGGGATGCAGTGTCCTAGCCAGTGTCTTAAATGCTAGGCCAAATGCCCACGCCCGTAGTTTTCTCTAATACACATTTTCCATGAACTTTTTGAAGTACCTCACATGTGTATTAGTCTTATGATAGAATGTTAATTGGCCACTGAAAAGCACTGCAGACCATCCTTGGTTTGCACCGTGTGAGACCTAAAAATGACCATGCAGACCAAAATCATGTGAAGAGTATTAATATTCAAAGAGTAAAGTATGATCGTTCTATGATCTTGAAAATTTTTGTTAAACATTAAAAGCTTTCTGTTATAAAATTAGAAAATTTTAAAAAATAAAACTAATATTTAGTACACTATAATTTAAAACATAAATATTGAAAGTTAAAGTGATTTGTTCCTTTGTAAAAATAATTATCAAGTGGTGTAGAAGGTAAAGCCGCTACCTGCAGTGCCGGCATCCCATATGGGCACCGGTTCAAGTTCCTGCTGCTCCACTTCTGATCCAGCTCTCTGCTGTGGCCTGGGAAAGCAGTAGAAGATGGCCCAAGTCCTTAGGCCCCTGCACCCATGTGGGAGACTGGAGGAAACTCCTGGCTCCCTGGCTTCAGATTCGGCACAGCTCTGGCCATTGCAGCCTCTTGGGGAGTGAACCAGCGGTTGGAAGACCTCTCTCTCTCTCTCTGCCTCTCCTCTTTGTAACTCTGGCTTTCAAATTAATAAATAAACCTTTGAAAAATAAGTTTCAAGACCAATTTGAACAGCACTTCCCTTCTTGTGTACATTTCAATACTGAGTGACTATCTCTTCTATGCTTTGGTGAATTGCCATCCTCCATCCTAAATTCATATCAGTTTCCAACATTTTATCCTTTGTACTTTGAATACCATGAAATATCTCTGAAAGTGCTTTTTTGTAAGATTTATTTATTAATTTGAAAAAGCAGAGCAAGCAAGAGAGATCCTCCATCCACTGGTTTACTCCCCAAATGACTACAACAGCCAGATGTGGGCCAGGCTAGAGCCAGACACTCCATTCAGGTGTTCCATGTGGGTAGCAGGGACCCAAGCACTTGGGCTGTCTTCTGCTGCCTTCCCAAGCACATGATCTGGATCAGAAACAGAGCAGCCAGGACTCTTAACACCTACATAGGATGCCAGAATCATAAGCAACAACCTAAGCTCCTGCGCAACAATGCTGAGTGTGTTTTTAATGTCGTTTTTTTCTGTTGTCACTTCTGAGGCAGCTTCATACTTGGTATAACAACTGCTTTTCTGGGGCTGGCACTGTGGTGCAGTGGGTTAAAACCCTGGCCTGAAGCGCTGGCATCCCACATGGGTGCCAGTTCTAGTCCCAGCTCCTCCTCTTCAAGTCCAGCTCTCTGCTATGGCCTGGGAAAGCAGTAGAAGATGGCTCAAGTCCTTGGGCCCCTGCACCTACATGGGAGACCCAGAAGAAGTTCCTGGCTCCTGGCTTCGGATTGGCACAGCTCCAGCCATTGCGGCCATCTCGGGAGTGAACCAGCGGATGGAAGCCCTCTCTGTGTCTCTGCCTCTCTGTAACTCTGTCTTTCAAATAAATTTAAAAAAAAAAAAAAAAAACCACTTTATTAAGTTTATCTTCACCATTTTCCTGTAGGTCATATTTGCAGTTTCTCAGAAGTTGGCACTGTCAACACTTAACAGTTCGCTGTTTCTTCCGTAATTCCCTTTTTTTAAAATTTATTTTATTTATTTGAAAGGCAAAGTTACAGAGAGATGGAGAGGGAGAGAGAGCCTCGACCTGCTGGTTCGCTCCCTGAATGTCCAGAACAGCTGAGGCTGGGCCAGGCTGAATCCGGAAGCCTGGAGCTTCTGGGTCTCCCACAAGGGTTCAGGGACCAAGGACTTGAGCCATCTTCAGCTGTCTGCAGGTGCGTTAGCAGGGAGCTGGATAGAAGTAGAGCATCTAGGACATGAACCGGCATCCGTATGGGATGCCTACACTGCAGGCAGCAGCTTAACCCACTACGCCACAGCTCCAGCCTCCATAACTCTCTTTACATTTGATTAAAATTTCACTTTATTCCTGGAGTTACTATTTAAAAAAAAATTTTTTTAAGTTTTTATTTATTTGAACAAAAAGATCTTCCAGCTGCTTTTTTACTCCCTAGATGTCCTCAACAGCCAGGGCTGGGATACACTCAAGCCAGGAGCCTAGAACTAAATCTGGATCTCCCATATGGGTGGCAGATATCCAAGTACTTGACCCATAACCTGCTGCTTCCTAGGGTATGCGTTAACAAGAAGCTGGAATGGAGAGCAGAACCAGACTCAAACCCAAGCACTTCTTGTGGGGAGCAGCTCGGACTAGACTAAGTTACTGGAATTAAGACTTATTCTATGCATCTGCTCTCCTCTGTGGGGAGCAGCTCGGACTAGACTAAGTTACTGGAATTAAGACTTATTCTATGCATCTGCTCTCCCACAATATGGCGCTGGGAGAGGAGGCAACAGCTTCTACCCAGCTGCCTCTCACCAACTTGACAAGCTGCAGGACCTGTTCCTGATTGAAGGAGAGCAGCGTACTCGGCGTGTGGGCAGCCGAGTTGGGATTGGCGGAGGAGGACTATAAAGGAGGAGAGAGACGGCATGCACGGGGGAACATCTATGGGGAACATCTGAAGGAACACCTGTGCAGCCCCCAAGAAGAGCCGGCCGGCGGTGTGCCGCTCCCCTGCGGAAGTGGGGAATGCGGCCAGGGGGAACTGCCCTTCCACGGAGGTGGAAGGGATAGTAGCCAACCCGGGAAGAACCAGCAGCAAACCCGGGGAGGGCCGAGCAGACGAAAGAACAGCGCAGGGTCCTGTGTTGCTCCTCCACGAAGAGGGGGAGCGACATAATGGTGCCGTGACTCGGATAGGAAACCTAGCTCGGATAGGAAACTTAGGACGGATATGAAACTTAGGAGGGAAGAAACGGGAAGAACTGGGAAATTACCGGAGAGAGAGACTAGCAAATAGCCTAGGGAAAAGCCGGACGAAAAAGGAGCCGGAAGAAGCTATTGAAAGCCTAGGCATAGACTCGGATACGGACTACGGGGGGAAGCTGGGAGAAATCTCTAAGGTCGAAAGCGAAAGTGAAAGCTAGAACAAACAGACTTGGATACGGACTGTGGGGAGAGGCCAGGAGAAATGAGGGAGGAATATCGTTGGAGGAAAGCTTGGGGAAACATACCGGGTAGAGAAAACTGTTAGGGAAATTGAAGCCGCGGGGGGCAGGCCAAGGCGGAAACGAAAGCCACTTTGGGGTTCTCAAGTTAGCCCGGGAATAGGGGGCGAAAAGTTGAAACCAGAAGCTGAAACGTGAGCCAGATTGGGATCCGTCTGATTAGCCCGGGGAGCAAAGGACGGGAAGCCAAATCGTGGGGCGGAGACGTACGCTGGGTTGAATTCGCCAGGCTAGCCCGGGGAACTTGGATTGAATGCTAGTGGTGGAGACGCAAGCTACGCTGTGTTACTCGCGGAAGCCGCCGCGTGCAGAGAGAGCACGGGGCGTGAGTAGATAGGGAACGGGGCTGGCGTAGGCCGTGGTTCAGACGCGAAAGGGTTAAGCGTGGAGACCGCGGACCGCGCAAAGCCGGGAAGCCGCGCAGATGAGGCGCGGGCTGAAGCGGCTCAGAGCCGGCGAGGCGCGGAGAAGCAGCCTCGGGGCGAGGCGCCGGGAAGCTGCGCGGAGCCGTGAGGCTGCCGGCAGGGCGAGGCGCCGGGAAGCCGCGGGGATAAGAGAAAACAGAAGTTTAGAAATGGAATGAGAGCGGGAAGCTGCGGGGATAAGAGAAACAGAAGTTTGGAAGTGGAGTGAGAGAAATGGGAATGTTGGCAGATAGAAGTAAAATGGGAGAGATAGGAATGCCCGGAGATAGAGAAATAGAGAAAAATAAGGCCTCCCCTCAACATGCCAATTAAGCGCCAGTAAAGCTCGACCAGAGTATGAGCTGCAGGTCACCGAAGATAGGCACGAACCAACACTAATAAGTCTCCCCCACAATACGGCAATGAGAAGGCTTGGATTCGGTTTGCCTGATAGAGCTTGTAAGCCCCTGCGGGCAGAGCAAAGCATGCGCTGCAGGGCACCGAACACAGGCACGCATCAGCGCCTAAAAACCTCCTCACAACATGGCGAAGAGAGGACCCGGATTCGGTTTGCCTGATGGATAGGACTTGTAAGAGCCTGTGGCAACTCTAGCAAGTAGAGCAGAGTGTGTGCTGCGGGACACCGAAGACAGGCGCGTATCAACGCCAAAAAAATAAAAAGAAAGGGGGATCTGTGGGGAGCAGCTCGGACTAGACTAAGTTACTGGAATTAAGACTTATTCTATGCATCTGCTCTCCTCTGTGGGGAGCAGCTCGGACTAGACTAAGTTACTGGAATTAAGACTTATTCTATGCATCTGCTCTCCCACAATATGGCGCTGGGAGAGGAGGCAACAGCTTCTACCCAGCTGCCTCTCACCAACTTGACAAGCTGCAGGACCTGTTCCTGATTGAAGGAGAGCAGCGTACTCGGCGTGTGGGCAGCCGAGTTGGGATTGGCGGAGGAGGACTATAAAGGAGGAGAGAGACGGCATGCACGGGGGAACATCTATGGGGAACATCTGAAGGAACACCTGTGCAGCCCCCAAGAAGAGCCGGCCGGCGGTGTGCCGCTCCCCTGCGGAAGTGGGGAATGCGGCCAGGGGGAACTGCCCTTCCACGGAGGTGGAAGGGATAGTAGCCAACCCGGGAAGAACCAGCAGCAAACCCGGGGAGGGCCGAGCAGACGAAAAGAACAGCGCAGGGTCCTGTGTCGTTCCTCCACGAAGAGGGGGAGCGACACTTCTATTGGGATATAGGCATCCCAAGCAGCATCCTAGGACTTCAAATACCTGCCTCACTTTCTGTTTCTTTGCTATCCTGACTTTTGTTTTATTTTATTTATTTGAAAGGCAGATAGATCTTCCATCCACTGTCTTAACACCCTAAATGACTACAATAGCTAGGGCTGGCCCAGGCTGAAGCCAGAAGCCAGGAACTCTGAGTCTCCCATATGGGTGACAGAAAGCCAACTTAGGCCTTTATCCACCACCTCTCGGGCATATTTACAGAAATCTGTATCAGAAGCATAGAGTAATTGGGACATGAGCCAGGCACTATGATACGGCATGGTGGGCATCCCAACTTGTACCTTAACTGTGTCTTCCTCTGCAGTGTTATCTTTGTTAGTCAGTTCCCTCTTTTGATTACCTATTTTGTAAAATATTGCATGGGGTCCTCACTGAGAAGCAGAGATGACACACCTACACACTTTGCTGTCTGTATGGGTACTGAATATATGCAGGAACCACTCAAATTTGAAAGAAGTGACAAGGTTGTTCACCAATCATGGTATACATTGTTATTCATGGAGTGATTTGAGACCTAAGAAGATGTGAAATTTGTATAATAGACCATGGTAGCTGATACTCAAACCATGTTGGGGACCAGTATTGTTTAAAATTTGGTAACTGAAAATTTTATATTTCAAAACCACACAACTATGTTATATGTATGTTCACTGCAATTGAAAGCTCTTCCTGCAAGCTAGACATTATCCATGTGTCCCTTCTTCCCCACTCACTGCCCTTTTCCACTCAGCTGTGTGCCTTGGGAGGCAATCTCTAAGGACTATATAACCAGGTACCCGTTCCAATACTTAATTGGGTTTGGTCTTTGTAAGGCACCAACAGGAGATATGCTGGAGGAAAAAGAGCAAGGCCAAGGTATTTAGTTTTCTTTGCTGGACCTAGTTTTGGCCATGGCTGCTTCCCTTTCCTCAAGGCCACAGCTTCCACTGAGCAGCAGATCACAACTTCTTCGATACAACCACAGCTGCTTCTTGGCCATCAGTTGCTGGCTCTGAGGGGCTTCACCATCCCTTCTGATTTCTTTAAAGCTCCCAGATCTTTGTTTAAGGCCTCTTCACAAAACTCTCTTCAAGGATACTCCTTTTGAGTGTGCCATAGTTTCTTACCAGGACCCTGATCAAAATACCATGTCACACTGTTTATGGAAAATTATATGTACAAATCCAACTAGCATATGCACTTAGAGGTCTGAAGTGATATAAACAATAACAGTTTTAACCATTTGCCTTTTTCTCATCTAATTTTAAAAATAGGTACATTACATATACTCATAGATTATTTGGGCTTCAAAATACATTTTTTTCATTTAAATCTATTATAGAAATTTACAAGTTAACCATTCTACTTTTAACATATTTGGTCAGATACATCTTTATATAAATGTTCTTATAAATTATTCTAACAAAGAAGGTTTATAATCCAGCAACTCCCATTAAATATAACTGAATGGAGACAAGTGTTTGGAATTAAATGAGATCAGTTGTCTTCTTTCTTAAGTAACACAGAACCTGCTTTGTCTCAACATACTGCTGCCTCTGGGCTGTTCCTGGATCCAATTTGGGAGAACTAACATTTCTTTGTACAGAAAATAGTTGACACCCATATACAGCTTTTAATACTGCTAACGTGATTGGCCATGGTCTTCACACATCCAACTTAGTATTTCCTTCAGAATCAGACCAAATTGTGAAAAGCATTAAAATGCCAGTTGTTTAATTATTTTGTGTTCTTACTGCTGTCACCAGTATATTTAAAAAAGCAAGGCAACATCGTGGTGCTGAATGTGCAAAGGTACTTCCAAAAGTTCTTGGAAAATGGAATTAAAAGATGTTTCTTTTGGTGCATATGAGCATTCTTCAAAAAGTTTCTGGAAAATGCCTATTATGAAAAAACTATGTATTGGGGCTGGCACTGTGGCATAGTAGGTGAAGATGCCATGTGCAGTCCCAGCATCCGATGTGGGCAAGAATGGCACATGTACTTGGGTCCAGGCACCCACATTGAAGACCCGGATGAAGCTTCTGGATCCTGGCTTCAGCCTGGCCCAGCTCTGGCTGTTGAGGCCACTTGGAGACTGAACCAGCAGATAGAAGATTTGTCTCCCTCTCTCTGCCTCTGCGTTTCCCTCTCCATATCTATAACTCTGTCTTTCAAATAAACAAATCTTTAAAAAAAAAAACTATGTATGGATTTCATTAAGTACTGTTATAAATATAAAATGGATTTTTAAAATGCCTATGTGGCTTTATCATTTGAAATACTGAAGGTTCAGTGCGTGGTGGCAGGGGTGTTCTTTCTTTTTTTCTTTTTATGTGATAGGAAAGTAAATGGATGTTTTTAAAGAAACCTGTTATAGAAGAGCATCGGAAAGGAAGATGTGTTCACTGGAATTCCTTGCTTTTGCCTTGGCAGTTTCTACAGCAATACCTACACAATGCATTGTACTGGGTTAATGTTTGTGGATTAGATAGATTATTTATTTGAAAGAGTTACAGAGAAAGAGGGAGTGACAGAGAAAGAGAGAGAGAGCTTCCATCCACTGGTTCACTCCCCAAATGGCCACAATCACCAGGCCTAGGCCAAGCCAAAGCCAAGAGCCAGGAGCTTCATCCAGGTCTCCCAGTGTGAAAATTAAACATATTCTTATTTTTCCCCTTTTAAATTGACAAGGAGGGGAAAATGGCAGTGGAACTATTATAATGCTGGTGAGAATGTGCAAGTTTTCTGGAAGATGATTTGACAACATGTATTAATTTGACTTACTAATTCCTGATTAAGAAATCATCTAAAGATTTAAATATGGCCGGCGCCACGGCTCACTAGGCTAATCCTCTGCCTGTGGCGCTGGCACCCTGGGTTCTAGTCCCAGTTGGAGTGCCAGATTCTGTCCTGGTTGCTCCTCTTCCAGTCCAGCTCTCTGCTGTGGCCCAGGAAAGCAGTGGAGGATGGCCCAAGTGTTTGGGCCCTGCACCCCCGTGGGAAACTAGGAGGAAGCATCTAGCTCCTGGCTTCCGATCATCACGGTGCACCGGCCGTAGCACGCCAACCGTAGCGGCCATTTGGGGGGTGAACCAACGGAAGGAAGATCTTTCTGTCTGTCTCTCCCTTTCTCACTGTCTAACTCTGCCTGTCAGAAAAAAGATTTAAATATGTGAAGATGTACTACATGGATTATCATTATACTAATATATATATTCATTACAACAGAAATATATCAACTGAAAAGATTTTCATGATATATTGTCAAGTTGTTTTTTTTTTAAGATTTATATATTTATTTGAAAGGCAGAGTTAGAGAGAGGCAGAGAGAGAGAGAGAGAATCATCCATGTACTGGTTCATTCCCCAAATGGCCACAACAGCTGCAGCTGGGCCGATCCGAAGCCAGGAGCCAGGAGCTTTTTCTGGATCTCCCAAGCAAGCGCAGGGGCCCAAGGACTTGGGCCATTTTCTACTGCTTTCCCAGGCCATAGCAGAGAGCTGGATTGGAAGTAGAGCAGCCGGGACTTGAACCAGTGCCCATATGGGATGTCAGCACTGCAGGCGGCAACTTTACCTGCTACACCACAGCGCCAGCCCCTTGTCAAGTTTTTTAAGGAGCTTATACAACAGTGTTTCTGTGGAAGGATGTACTCATGAAAATGTTAACAAATATTTCTGTCATACTATGGAGGTCCTTTTTATTATTTTTGTTTCTCTGTATTTCTGCTTTTCTTCTGTGAATGTATATTACTAGAAATTGGTAAAATTATACTTCACTAAAATAAGGAATCTGATTTTTTTGCCTCCTGGTGTACAGCAAATATCAAAATTAGGAATTCCATTTCCACTTATACTTTAAAAAAAAAAGATTATTTATTTGAAAGACAGTTACAAAGAGGCAGAGATAGACAGCAGGGTCTTCCCTCTACTGGTGCACTCCCCAGATGGCTGCAATGGCTGGAACTATGCCAATTCAAAGCCAGGAGCCAGGAGCCAGGAGCTCCTTGGTCTCCGATGTGGGTGCAGGGGCCCAAGCACTTGGGCCATCTTCTAATGCTTTCCCAAGCCATAGCAGAGAACTAGATAAGAAGAAGAGCAGCCAGGACTCAAACTGGCACCCACATGGAATGCTGGCACTGCAGGCAGTGGCCTTACCCCCTATGCCACAGCACAGGCCCCTCCACTTCATACTTTTATATCACTTTGTGCTTCATGTATTTTGATATCATTGCATGTTACTCTGAAAATTGTATTTGTATTCATGTACTGCCTCCATTATTAGGTTCTAAATTTTTAAAAACCCCATCTGCAGACACAGCTGCCTACTGTAAGATACCCCATAAATAGGATGGACGGAAGGACTGAATGAGGAGGACTGTCACAGAAGGAACCTAGGGCAGCCCAGACCACTACAGTGCTCGGTTCCTATTAGCTAGAAACATAAGAACAAAACCTACACACACCATGCCCTGGGACATTTCTAGCTTAAGTGACACCATGAAGCATACTAACTGTCCTTGTTGTCTCTGCCACATACTGTTCAACTAAATGCTTTCTAAAAAGCTGCCATGGTTCATACAGTCCTCTCTGGAACTGCTGAGACCAGCCTGGGCCCTCTATGTGTGTGTTGGGGGGGAGGGGGAGTTTGTTTTAATTACTACAGAATAACTTGTATATAAGTCAGAAAAATGTTCCACTTGGCTGCAGCTGAACTGCTTGTAAATGCATATTCTGAGATGCTTGTCAACAAAACATTATGCTCTGCCTGGGATGAGTCTCCTGGGGCTGGTAAAAGATGCGATGGTCAACCCACGGGCCTGTGCTGCCTGCCACAACTGCACATGAAGAGTATGAAGGTGTGTTACATCTTCAAGAGTGGGATGTGAAATTTTCTCCTTCAAGCTCAAGCCAAAGAGATGGGTTTTATCCCTCTTTGAAACACAGGGTGATTATTGGACCCTAACAGAGGAAACAATTTATACCTGTTAAGGTTCAAAAGCCTTCTGAAGGAAAGAGTTGTTTCAAAGTCTTCAGCATGCTCCAGTGTGCCTGGTCCCCTAAAATAAAAGTTCCCTGAGAAGCAGGGGGTTTTGTCTGTTTCATTCCCTGAGGTATCACCAGTATCTACTACAGTACCCAACACAGAGTAGGTTTCCAGTACATATTTGTTGCATGATTGGATAAATGAATGAATGACACTAAGTTTGGGGATATCTGAGATTTTAGGGGCACAGGACAATTTATAATGTACAAATAACCCTTCCCTGTAGACTACTGAAGTTTATAATTCTAAGTTCGGCAGGTCTTCAAAGAGGGAGGTGCCTTTCTCTGAAGGGAGGAGAGAACCTCCACTTTGACTATGACCGTGTCTAAACAAGATAAGAGTCGGAGAACTCAAGGGGCTTCCATAGCCTTGGAAACTCATGACTGGTGCATAGGGAGATTACTGATGCCATAAACAGGAGTGTCAATTTGTAAAGTCAACAACAGGAATCACTGTGCACTTACTCCTCATGTAGGATCTCTGTCCTTAATGTGCTGTACACTGAGGCTTAATGCTATAACGAGTACTCAAACAGTATATTTCACTTTGTGTTTCTATGGGGGTGCAAACGATTGAAATCTTTACTTAATGTACACTAAACTGATCTTCTGTAAAAAAAAAAAAAAAAAGAAAGAAATTATCAATTCCCAACTTGACTCTCACTGGGATTAAACATGACAATAGGTCTGATCTGATTTCATCATCATTTAAAAAAAATCACCTATTATTTTTCACTTTATGTTTCTGTGTGGGAGCAAACTGTTGAAATCCTTACTTAAGGTATACTAAGCTGATCTTCTGTATATTAAGATAATCGAAAATGAATCTTGATGTGAATGGAAGGGGAGAGGGAGTGGGAAAGGGGAGGGTTGTGGGTGGGAGGGATGGTATGGGGGGGGAAGCCATTGTAACCCATGAGTCGTACTTTGGAAATTTATATTCATTAAATAAAAGATAAAAAAAAAAAAAAAAGAAAGGGAGGGGGAGCATTCAGGAAGAACATTGTTAATAGGTGTGACTTGATCCAGCAAAGACTATTATGTTAGAATGAGACTAAATTGGTTAACCACACTGTTTTGCATGGAAGAATAAAACTGTTTTTGACATTTGGATAAAAAAAAAAAATTCTAAGTTCGGAACTTAATCCACTTATCTTAAGGTTCTTATTTTACTTAAAAGGAACATTCCATGTGCATTGGATAAGAGAATAAATCAGTATATTATTGAAATGCAATTTGGCAGTTTCAGAATATGTAAAATGGGGCCAGCACTGTGGCGTAGCAGGCTAAACCTCTGCCTGTGGTGCCAGCATCCCATATGGGAACTGGTTTGTGTCCTGGTTGCTTCTCTTCTGATCTAGCTCTCTGCTATGGCCTGGGAAAGCAGTGGAAGATGGCCCAAGTGTTTGGATCCCTGTACCCACGTGGGAGACCTGGAAGAAGCTCCTGGCTCCTGGCTCCTGGCTTTGGATCGGCCCAGCTCCAACTGTTGCAGCCATTTGAGGAAAATGAACTAGCAGATAGGAGACCTTTCTGTCTCTTCTTTCTGTAACTCTACCTCTCAAATAAATAAATAAAATCTTTTTTAAAAAAATAATATGTAAAATATTCACAGCCTAGGGCAAACCATTATGTGGGGAGCAAACCGGACTAGACTGAGTTACTGGAATTAAGACTTATTCTATGCATCTGCTCTCCCACAATATGGCGCTGGGAGAGAAGTAGACGGCTTCCGCACAGCTGCCTCCAGTTCAACCAATAGACTGTAGGACTTGCTACTGATTGGAGGAGAGCAGCGTACTCGGCGTGTGGGCAGCCGA